AAATTATTTAAATTCGCGGGCCCGGAAACGAATTTAACTAATTTAAATATCGAATTAAATTATTTAAATTCGCGGGCCTCCAAACTAATTTAAATAATTCAAATCCGGATTTAAATTATTTAAATTATTTAAATTATTTAAATTAGTTAAATGGTCTGTGCTGGGAGAAATCTGGATCTATTTAGATTCTTTAAATTATTTTATTTAAATTCGCGGGCCCGGAAAAGAATTTAAATAATTTAAATCCCGAATTAAATTATTTAAATTCGCGGGCCCGCTAATTTAAATAATTTAATTCGGGATTTAAATTATTTAAATTAGTTTCCGGGCCCGCGAATTTAAATAATTTAAAGAATCTAAATAGATCCAGATTTTCTCCCAGCACAGACCATTTAACTAATTTAAATAATTTAAATAATTTAAATAATTTAAATCCGGATTTGAATTATTTAAATTAGTTTGGAGGCCCGCGAATTTAAATAATTTAATTCGGTATTTAAATTATTTAAATTCGTTTCCGGGCCCGCGAATTTAAATAATTTAAATCTCGAATTAAATTATTTAAATTCGCGGGCCTCCAAACTAATTTAAATAATTCAAATCCCGATTTAAATTATTTAAATTATTTAAATTATTTAAATTATTTAAATTAGTTAAATGGTCTGTGCTGGGAGAAAATCTGGATCTATTTAGATTCTTTAAATTATTTAAATTCGCGGGCCCGGAAACTAATTTAAATAATTTATATCCCGAATTAAATTATTTAAATTCGCGGGCCCGGAAACTAATTTAAATCATTTAATTCGGGATTTAAATTATTTAAATTAGTTTCCGGGCCCGCGAATTTAAATAATTTAAAGAATCTAAATAGCTCCAGATTTTCTCCCAGCACAGACCATTTAACTAATTTAAATAATTTAAATAATTTAAATAATTTAAATCCGGATTTGAATTATTTAAATTAGTTTGGAGGCCCGCGAATTTAAATAATTTAAATCGATATTTAAATTAGTTAAATTAGTTTCCGGGCCCGCGAATTTAAATAATTTAAATCTCGAATTAAATTATTTAAATTCGCGGGCCTCCAAACTAATTTAAATAATTCAAATCCCGATTTAATTATTTAAATTATTTAAATTATTTAAATTAGTTAAATGGTCTGTGCTGGGAGAAAATCTGGATCTATTTAGATTCTTTAAATATTTAAATTCGCGGGCCCGGAAACTAATTTAAATAATTTAAATCCCGAATTAAATTATTTAAATTAGTTTCCGGGCCCGCGAATTTAAATAATTTAATTCGGGATTTAAATTATTTAAATTAGTTTCCGGGCCCGCGAATTTAAATAATTTAAAGAATCTAAATAGCTCCAGATTTTCTCCCAGCACAGACCATTTAACTAATTTAAATAATTTAAATAATTTAAATAATTTAAATAATTTAAATCCGGATTTGAATTATTTAAATTAGTTTGGAGGCCCGCGAATTTAAATAATTTAATTCGATATTTAAATTAGTTAAATTAGTTTCCGGGCCCGCGAATTTAAATAATTTAAATCTCGAATTAAATTATTTAAATTCGCGGGCCTCCAAACTAATTTAAATAATTCAAATCCCGATTTAAATTATTTAAATTATTTAAATTATTTAAATTAGTTAAATGGTCTGTGCTGGGAGAAAATCTGGATCTATTTAGATTCTTTAAATTATTTAAATTCGCGGGCCCGGAAACTAATTTAACTAATTTAAATCCCGAATTAAATTATTTAAATTCGCGGGCCTCGAAACTAATTTAAATAATTCAAATCCCGATTTAAATTATTTAAATTCTTTTCCAAGCCCGTGAATTTAAATAATTTAAATAATGTAAATAATTCAAATAGAATGAGGATTTCTCCGAACCCAAACCATTTAGATAATTTAAATAATTTAAATAATTTAAATCCTGATTTAAATTATTTAAATTAGTTTCGAGGCCCGTGGATTTAAATAATTTAATTCGGTATTTAAATTAGTTAAATTAGTTTCCGGGCCCGCGAATTTAAATAATTTAAATCTCGAATTAAATTATTTAAATTCGCGGGCCTCAAAACTAATTTAAATAATTCAAATCATTTAATTCTTCCATATGTTCTCTATACATATAGAAAAACAGGTAGCAACATAGTACATAAAGGTCCCTCTCTCATATATATATATATACACAAAGACACGATGCTGTCCCATTACCGCTAAAGCAACCTGCAACAGTGCCTTCGTAAGCCTCTATGTTTGGCAATGCCACACCCTTTAAATCCTAGACCCTATAAACCCTACAAGCCTTATAAACCGTCAGAACCCTCAAAGCCGTCAAAACCCTCAACATCCGCAAGACCCTGAAGACCCGCAAAACCCTATAGCACCCTAAAACCCTAAACCCTAAAACCCTAAACCCTAAACCCTAAACCCTAAACCCTAAACCCTAAACCCTAAAAATTTACTTGCCCATGCAGGGCCTACCTTCCCTCTGCGGCGTCCGTTCTGTTCGGCGCGCTGCAGGCCCCGCCGACGCCCGTGCCATTGCTTTTCGTTTAGGGTTGACAGGGGCTATGGGTCTGTTCGGGGTTTTAGGGTTTAGGGTGTTTCGGGTTTAGGGGCTGTAGGGGTGTTAAGGGTGTTAGGGTTAAGTGGTTAGTGGTTTAGGCTTGCTTAGGGTTTAGGTTCCTCACGCTCGGTGTTTCTTGCTAAAGCAAGGCAAGTATTTGACTCTGCTGTGCTCCTCGCCCGGATCTGCTGAATCCCGTGGCTTGGAGTTCCTCAACCCTAGACATGAACCCTAAGCCCTAAACCCTAAACCCTAAACCCCAAACCGGTTCAGGGTTCGTTTCGTTCAGGTCCAAGCATCCTCCACTGCGGGTTTCAAGATATTCGTCTCGAAGAAACAGAGTGAGTTTAGTACCCCCAAGCCCTAACCATTCACCTACACTCCCCAAATAATGTAGAATAAGGGTCTCTTTTCTCGGTTAGGCGGCGGGCTATTTCATCTCATACGTACTTTGGGGGTCCAGGTAAGCTTTGGGGTCTAGAGTTTCGAGTAGCTAAACCTTAAAGCCTGATTTCTGCACCCTAAACCCTAAAACCCTAAGCCCTAAGAACCATAATCCCTAAACCCTAAACCCCGACCCACCCACAAAGTGAAGCTTCCAGGCGCGATTGCTGGCTGCCTTCCGACACCAGGCCCGGGCATCGGGGAGTTACTTTGCAAGGGTCCTTCGCTTTAAAGGTCTAAATCCCCTCCCCCTAATACTAAATCCACCCCCCCCCCCTCCCCCCCCCAAATCTGAAATTCGCCTGGGCCCGAAAATATTTGAAATTAGGCGGGGGCCTAAACCCTAAAACCTGAATTCCGGAGGGCGAGAAGGCCCTGAACCCCTCATCCCCTAATTCTCAAACAGGTTTAGCATTGGGCTGGGTGCCGGCAGTGTCCGGGAAAAATCATACTAAAAATCAGGGGTTTTTAGTATTAGGGGGAAACGATTGGGGTTTTGGGGTTTGGGGTTCCTAAACCCTAAACCCTAGATGGGATTTCAGGGGTAGCCGCAGCTGTGGAAACCCTAAACCCTAAACCCTAAACCCTAAACCCTAAACCCTAAACCCTAAACCCTAAACCCTAAACCCTAAACCCTAAACCCTAAACCCTAAACCCTAAACCCTAAACCCTAAACACTAAACACTAAACCATAAACCCTAAACCCTAAACCCTAAACCCTAAACCCTAAACCCTAAACCCTAAACCCTAAACCCTAAACCCTAAACCCTAAACCCTAAACCCTAAACCCTAAACCCTAAACCCTAAACCCTAAACCCTAAACCCTAACCCTAACCCCTAAACCCTAATTAGGGTGTTAGGGTTTAGCGGGGGAGCTCCCAAGGCGCCTCGTCAGCCTGACAGGGAGTTTCTGCGCCGAGTTCAAGGACCACTAAGCTTCATGGAATTTCTTGGCTCATTAGGCCTCGTTGTATCGAAAGCATTCAGGAACGGACTGAAGGTTCATAAGGGTATGGGGGATTGTTTTAATGGTCCCTTAAGGGACGGCACTCCGGGGAGAATGTCTTGGCAAAGGGGGATCCTTACCAAGAAGGGGAGCCTGCCCTTATGGTTCTGCTTGGATACACGGAATTTTGAGCTGCTACCAGGCTACCAGAAATCTGGGGCCTTATCAGCGGTCTCATGAATTAGGAATTAGAGTCCGCCCTTGTGCCGACAGTAGGCAAACCCCAACCCTAATCCATTCCTCCATATACCCATCAATTGACATGGCAAGCAACATTCAGTTAGAAGTAAGGTTACAGGTTCCCCAGAAGGGGTTAAGACCACTTGTTACGTAGAGCTTCCCTAAACTTTTAGCCCCGGTTAGAACTACCAACCTCCAAGCAAAGCCTGGAGGAGTATTTGAGGACATCGACGCGGCTCCAATCAGCCATTCCGACGCATGTTCTGAACCCTAAAGCCTAAACCCTAAACCCTAAACCCTAAACCCTCAACCCTACATCCTTAGTTTCACGTGGGGTTCCACAAGGCCATGTGTTGGAACTCCAGGTCCTCAAGCCACCGTGGTTGTGCGTTTAGGGTTTGGGTTAGGGTTCGGGATTGAATCCGCACCCCTGCATCCTAAAGAGTCTCGCGAAGGCGCGACGCCCTTCCTTTCTTCGGGTCTCTTCGGGTTTGGGTTTAAATTAGGGCTTACGGCTTAAGGTTGACATACGTGTCTTCCATGTCAGTTTCTGGGCGGGCAGCGTCGTTCTGGCCGTTCTGGTGCACATTCAGTGTGTGACTGTGTGACAGCATGTGTCGACCAGTCACGTCCAAGTTGGCGCATGCCAAAAAACCCGACCCCAAACAATAACAAATAATATATACATAATAATAAGAATAATAATACGAAGAATAAGAATAAGGCCCTAAACCCATCATCCGCGAGGCCGCATCTCAGAGCTGGTGTCCTCCCTGGGCGCGCAGCATGCACATGCAGGGCGCGCCTGCGGCGAGGTGCTGGGGTTTGGGTGTGGGGTTTAGGGTTTAGGGTGTGGGGTTTAGGGTTTAGGGTTTAGGGTTTAGGGTTAGGGTTTAGGGTTTAGGGTTTAGGGTTTAGGGTTTAGGGTTTCGGTTTTAGGGTGTGTGCCCTTAAATGCTAAACCCTAAACCCATTTCTTACCACTAGAGCATCTGTGTGACGATCATCATCATGACGAGTGTGGTTCCACCAAAGTGGCAGCTTCCGTGTTCACGCTGAGTACCTGCTATCTATATATATATATATCCAGGAGGTACCTGGAAGCTAGCTTCTGGGTGCTGAGGCTTACCCTAAACCCTACACCCTAAACACTAAACCCCTAGGGGCTTGGGGATTGGGGTTAGCTAAGTCTCCTCGGCGAATGTGTTGGTCTTTGTGATCGGGGTGAGCTGCCTGGAAGAATACCGTCTACGCGGACATATGGGATTTTACGAAAACAAGGGACCCTAGTGCAGACCCCAAATAGAAGGATCCCCATAGAATAAGGACCATACCGGCACAGTCATGTCGAAGGGATAGCTCAGTGAAACCGGAAAGCCCGGAGCGGGATGTGCTGCTTTGTGCTTCAGCTTTCTCACCGTCTGAAGCTGTCCTCTTGCTCCCTTCAACCGCCATTGAATGCGTTTGCTCTAAACCAGCGACGTGATCCCTCTCCTGGCGAATCGAAAAGGTCAAGCGTGCATCAGAAGTTGTGGCACTCGTATGTTGTATGCCTTGGCAAGGTAGTACTTACCTCTCGTCACCCTAAACCCTAACCCTAAACCCTAAACCCTAAACCCTAATGACTAATAAAACCCTAAACCCTAATTGAGGCTGCCATGGTGCCGCCTACATTGGTCACCGCGAAGCCAGCGCTGGCATAAAAAAAGAAAAAACTCAGCATCGTTTGTGCGTGCGGAAGTTTGTCAGCGCAGTTGCAAATCCCAAAACACTATGCCTGCAGCACGGCAAGCATGGTAATTAGGTGTCACCCCCCGGGGCGCACCTGGGGCTCCACACCTTGCGAGTCCTGGCTAGCTTCCAGTTTCGGGGGCGTCGGTTTAGGGTTTCGCGTTTAGGGTTTAGGGTGTAGGTGATTGCAGTCTGGGGTGTATAGGGCGTGGCCTCTCAGTATGGGCCCTTACATGGGGATCCCTTACATACCCTGTAATACTTCAGAACCCTTCACCGAAGGTAAGGGGCCACATTAAGGGACCATTCAAGCTCGCGTACACCCAAAACCCGAAAGCGCTCTTATTAGGTTTGGGCCTACAAGGGGGGATGAGAATGCGGTCGGTGGAGCCGACTCGAAACCCTAAGCCCCAGCATCACATCCCCTGAAACCCTGTTTAGGGTTGTAGGCTTTTGGGTTAGGGTTCAGCGTTTACGCAGGGTTGCGGAAGAACACCAAATCCCAACCCTCAACCCCAAGCCCTGACTCCTACCTCGTAGACCCCGGCATTCCAAATACTAACCCCCGAGTCTAAGCCCTTTGCTTAGCACCTATTCCCACGCCCCAACCCAACTCCGACACCGTAACAAGCAGGACTTGGGCATGTGCTTTCCCTTTGCCTGGGCCTTGATTCAGAGATCCGAAGTCGCAGGTCAGGACTTACATGGCGTTTGTCTTGCTGGTGTTGAAGGGCTTATGGTTTAGCGGCTTAGCCCTGAAGAGCCTGAGCTAAGCGCCACGCCCTAAACCCTAAACCCTAAACCGCCACATCTTGAAGGTCCCTTTTTTGGGGGAGGGCCGGGGCTTGGGGGCTCGTCATTTAGGTTGTAGGGTTTTCAGGGCTTAGGGTTTGTAAGTTTGTACGGTTAAGGGTTTGGAGAAAGTGTATCAGGGTTTGTCAAAGGTGTCTTGGACCTGATGCGCTGAGAAGGAGGGTTCTTGTACTCTTATCCTTGCAGAGTAAACCCTAAACCCTAAACCCTGAAGTTTCAGAGAACAGGTTCCGATTGCCGTCGCGCCCCGAGACGAAACAGGTATCGCCGGAAATCGGAAACCTGCGCGCCAAGCTTTTCTGCAAAAGCCTAGAGGTTTAGGGTTTAGGGATCTCTTTTTTGCCGCCTTGGTCGTGTTTGGGATTGCCGGTCTCCTTAAGATATCTCAGGGGTCTACGGTCCAGTGATGAGGTGCGGCACATGAGGGATCAGTTCAAGATGAACGTCTTGGCTGTGGAGTGCGCCCGAAAAATGTTGTCCAAAAGGTAGGAGTTGGTGGTATACCTCTAAACCCTAAACTTATGATGTTCCCCTTATTCTTCCTGTCCTTCATCGGGATTTAATGGGGCGTACTAGAATCCCTAGTAAGGACTGTTAGCATAAGGGGGAACATATCAACCTGCACTCGTTTAGGGTTTCGTTTTGGCCCTACACCCGCCCAGGTTCCTATGCTAGCTCCGGGGAACTATATGTGGTTGTTTAGCTGGCGGAGATGACAAGTTTCTTAGGGTTTTTGGGTTTAGGGTTTAGGGTTTTAGGGTGTGCCATTGATTTCAGAACTTGGGTTGGGCTCTCCTTGCATTATAGGGTTTAGGTGCTTCCTTCTTGTGTGTGTGTGTCTTTTTCTTACATTCTTCAAGAATTAGGCCCCATATGAGATCCAGAGCATGTCCAGAAAGTAGATCAGCTCGACATAGAGGTACTTCTGATGAGTTAAGTCTGATGGGAAGTTCCTCCTCATTCGCATTTCCCAACATGGGCCCCTCGTTTAGAGCTAAACCCCTTCCTCCACTGCAGGCTGGGGCTCAGGCTAGCATCAGGGTCTAAAGATCTGCTGTGTGTTTGATACCATCATTGAAAGATGCATCTGCAGGAATTGCGGCTTGTGACCAAACTTCCTCCCTTTTCAAGGTGCGGCGTTCATCTTCGAGCATCCTGTGAAAAACCTCTGCATAGCAAATCCCACCGTGCAGCAAAGGCGCGCTTTTCATTCAGATAGGTAAGGAGCCGTAACGGACTAAATCGCTATCCACATTTAAGGGATATTGGTCTTTTTTTGGGGATTTTACAAGCTTTACTCTCACGCTGCCAGACTTCCAGGCGACACCAGCCAAAGACCCGCGTCCCAGATTCCTTTCCCAAATCTGGAACTACAGAGACGCTAAACCCTAAACCCTAAACCTAAAATTTGAACCCTAGACATGTACCCTGACCCCGCAAACTCTATCAAGTCCTATCAGACGCAGCGCTGAAAACCCGATTCCTAAACTTCAACCCTGAACCCTATAAAGCCCCATTCCACCCTGCAAGTAGAAGGTACCCGGGTTATGGCCTGCTCCACGGCATCTCATCCTCCTCCGAGGCAGCATTGAAGGAGGCCGGCCCAAGCAGGGTATAGGGTTTAGGGTTTAGGGTTTAGAGTGCTTAGGGATCCTAACGCCCTCTCACCTCTAAACCCTAACCCCTACACCCCTAAACTAAGTGAGGGGTCGCTTCTGTTGAGCGACAGACCCCGAACGCTTGGCCGAGGGCTTTACAGCCTGAGCGCCCATACAACAAAGAAAAACGGAAAGGTGAGGGTAAGCCTCAACGGTTGACCTGGACAGGCGAACAGTTTTTAGCCTTGCTTACGGTTTTTGGTCTGAATGTTTTAAACTTTCGTACCGAATCACAGGTGAAATCCTACATCCTAAATCCTAGATCCTCAATCCTCAATCCTACATCACAAGTCCTATCTCCTAATCCTAAAATCCTCACTCCTAATCCTAAATCCCAAGAGTGGGCCTTAGTGCCATGGAGGCCCAGTCAAGGGTACGCCAGGCTTCGGGACAAAGTCAAGTAGTTCGATTACGGGAGAAATTCTGCACGGGTGCTAGTAGGGTTTAGGGCTGCGGGTTGTGGGTTTAGGGTGTAGGTTTGATTCTACAAACAGTGGCTTCCAGAATCCTCCTTAGAGGGGCCCTTATACCCCTAAAGTAGGATCCTTATGCTCATGTGGTTTTTTGGGACCCCTAGTTAGTGGTGGAAATGACTCTCGTAAATCCAAGGCCGGTGAAATCCCAAACCCCTGAACACTAAAGCCTAAACCTGGCAAACTCCTGCAAACTCTATTACGTTCCCGAAGCCCTTAAATTCGCAAACCCTCAAACATTCAAACGCTCAACCCCCAAACAAAGTGTCGGGTTACCCCAAAACCCCTAAACCCCAAAAGCCACCAAAAACCTAAACCCTACACCACCCTCAGGTAAACCCTCAAACCCTCAAACCCTCAAACCCTCAAACCCTCAAACCCTCAAACCCTCAAACCCTCAAACCCTCAAACCCTCAAAACCCTCAAAACCCTCAAAACCCTCAAACTCCTAAACCCGCAAACTCTTAAACCCTCAAACTCCTAAACCCTAAACCCTAAACCCTAAACCCCTCAAACCCTTCAAAAGAAGTTCTCGGGTGACTTGCAGGTTGCGCTGACGGCCTTCCGGTTCATCCTGGACGAGCTGAAGGTTGCGCACCGGGCCCAGCTCCTTACAGGGGTTTAGGGTTTAGGGTTTAGGGTTCAGGGTTCAGGGTTCAGGGTTTGGGATTTCAGCGATTAGGGTATAGGGTAGGGCATCAGAAATTTAGGGTGTGCCGGGTCTTTGTTTTGGATTTGGGACAGACTTTACTCTTCTAGGGGTTGGGTTTACTTGTCCTCCTCTCATTCGGTTCACAATCCTCCAAAAACCCTACACCCTAGCCCTAAACCCTAAACCCTCAACCCTAAGCCCCTTAACTCGTAAGTGGGGTTCCAAAGTAGTTTATTGTCGTTTCCTCAACTCAGGGAGGCAATTCTCCTGGCTCCCAAATTCACTTGGCTTCAGGGCCAAAGCCTTTGAGGCTTTCGAGGTGGTAGGGTTTAGGGTTTAGGGTTTAGGGTTTAGGATTTAGGGTTTAGGGTTTAGGGTTTGAGGGTTTAGGGTTTAGGGTGTAGGGTTTAGGGTTTAGGGTTTGGGGTTTTAGGGTTTTAGGGTTTGGGGTTTTAGGGCTTTAGGGTTTAGGGTTAGGGGCTACATTGGGTTCGAAGGCCCCTTCAGTGGTGCCCTTTCTTGCTTTGCTTTCGGGGCTTCCTGCCTCATTCCTCGTATGATCATGACCTGCATGTCATGGGGACAAGCAAATCCCATTCCCACACCACCCCACACCGCCAAACAGAAAGCATAAACCGCTTCTTCCTTGCCGGACATGAGCTCTGCAGAGGTTCCCCTAAACCCTAAACCCTAAACCCAAAACCCGAAACCCAAAACCCAAAACCCTAAACCCTAAACCCATAAACCCATAAACCCTCTCAAACCCAAGGTACGAGCAGATCATCCTCTTTGGTCGCTCTGTGGGCTCTGGGCCCACTGTGTACCTAGCGAGCAGGCCTTCCGCTCATTTAGGGGGTTTTGGGTTTTACTAGTTGAGGGTTTAGGGTTTACAGTTTGGGTTAGAAATGGCAAAGAAGGTTCATGGGCAGTTACACGTAGGGTTGTAAGTACGTACGCTAGACAAGATTCTAACCAATTCTCTTTATCGTTACCTTACTGATAACTACCTTTGACCTCCAGGTGCATGATGTGGCCCATGCATCGGTTTCCTCCCCAATGAGCCCGAAAATCAAGCTCAGCCCTTAGCCTGCACCCGGGCACGGCTCTGGCAGGCATCGGCACATGCCATCCCCTCACCCTGCCCTCCATCCCCTCCATCCGCCCCATGCCCTCCCCTCCCCCCATGCTCCGATGCTGGCACTCTTTCGACCCTAAACCCTAAACCTAAACCCTAAAGGAGAATGAGATTTCTAAGGTCCCTTCTAGGGGTCCCTCCTTCTTACCCCTTAACCCAATTCTAGCTGGGACCCCTACCTTTTAAACCCCCCTTTCCTGTACAGGTTTCCAGTCGGTGGCCTGATCCTTGTAGCAGCCTTCGCCTCCGTGCGCGAGGCAGTCTGGGCAAGATTTTAGAGTTTAGGGTTTAGGGTTTGGGGTGTAGGGTTTAGGGTTTAGGGTTTAGGGTTCAGGGATGTCTTGTGAGTTCATTGGCATGTAGTAGCTTAGTAGCTGAGGAGGTAACCTTGAACCTTTTGGGGTATGTATAATCCTACCATCATTGAAAGGTTAACCTTTTTTGGCCCAGGGTGCTCAGCAACTAGGGTAGGTTTTCTAGGCTTCCCCAAGGCCTCGGGTTTAGTCGGCTGTATGCAGGTTTGTCAGGGTTGGGGATTCATCAGGTCTTATTTTGTCAAGCCCACATGCTCAACCAAGGGTAGTCCCACGGAAGCCAGAAGAGGTCAAGGCGTGACATTCTGGCTCTAAAGAGTGTAAAGAAGCTTTGAGTAGATTAATCCGGCTCCCGCGGTCTAGCGGATAAGTCAAGGTTTTTGGCGCAACGATATGTTGTGAGGTGCAATGTCTGAAATCATCGATAATGAAGAGCTGCTGAGGGGCCATGGTAAGCTGGTGGTTCGTGGCGTGGGACGAATGCACAACACTGATGTTTTTGACAAAAGCCTCCAGTCATCTTGGGCACAATGCCCGAAACGATTCAGACTCAACCCAAAAACCCTAAACCCTAGACCCTAACATGTACATGAGACAGAAGATGAGACCGGGGAGTTCAGTAGAGTCAGTAGAGGGGCACTTAGAAAATAACCCCAAATGCTCCACCCTCCAAAAGGGCAAAAAGGTTTGCAATTTTGTGGAATATAACAGTGATGCTTGTATTCCTAGCTGACCTTCCCTGGTACCGGAGTGTTTCGTCATAGGCAGCCAAGTCTCTGGTGGGGCCCTTCGTGGCAAATGCATCTTGGCCGAGTCAGATCTTTCCAACCGAATTGGTGTAGAGGCTTGGGCACTTGGGTTCATGACACGTAAGGACTGTGAGTTTCCATCAGGTCTGAAGGCATGTCCAGAGGTCCACGGTAGAGCTGTCCCTGCTCGTACTTGCTCCTATTTGCTATGGTTGTTGGTACCTGGTTCCATAGCACAGTTTTCATGGTCTGAGATGCTTCGAGGATTCGGAGTCAAGCATGCCTGCTCCACAAAGCGCGAGCTGTGCCCTAAACCCTAAACCCTAAACCCTAGACCCGTCTCTAATGAATGACCCATTCACCCTTGGCAGCCTGACATAGCAGCACTGCGCTGCACTGTCGAAACTGGACACCCCTCTTGCTGCTTGCTGTTCTGCAAATGTACACATACACATACAGACTATGTAGGTTCTGTAGGTAAAGTACCTAAATCACATAAACAAATGTCAGCATTTTTGTATACATACATGCATACATACATAGGTACGCACACTAGATAAATATATACATGAATTACGCAAGCTCGTCATGCGTATACGTATGTGTGTGTATGTGTATCTGCACACACACATGTATGTGCGCACATACATCTTGCGCCATGCTTCCTGAGGTACTCGAAGAGCGCTTCCCGAACATTGCGCTGATAGGACCGGGCTAGCCTTCACGGAGCCTTGCAAGACCCAAATCCGAGGAACCCTAAAACCCCGAAAAACCCTGAAAGCCCTAAAAAAAAGCTAAACTCCTCAAAGCCCTAAACCTCCTTACAGTCCTCAGCAATGAGAGAAGCACGCTCCCTGATTCCACAGCGAGACCCCGACAAAGAACCTACGAAGATTGAGCACAATTCTTGTGCCCCACGCTTCCAGGGACCAAATCATCGTGTCCTTGTTCGGCTCCAGCAACCTAATGTTGTAGGTCCGTGGAAGTATAGGGGTAGGTACTCCCTAAACCCTAAACCCCAAACCCTAAACCCTAAACCCTAAACCCTAAACCCTAAACCCTAAACCCTAAACCCTAAACCCCACCCCCCCCCCCCCCCCCAATGGTCCGCGAGGAAACGTTTCGTGCCCGACCCTCTTCATCCACGGCGAGAAGGACAGTCTGGTCCCGCCCTCGCACTCGGCCGCGGCCCTGAAATCCAGTAGGGGGGGTTTAGGGTTTAGGGTTTGGGGTTTTGGGTTTAGGGTTTTGGGTTTTGGGTTTAGGGTTGAGGGTTTAGGTTGCTTAAGGACCACCCAGAGAATAGGAAATATTCTTCCTCATAAGAACAATATCGGATTCTTGTGTTTGTTTTTGGGGGGTTCTTGGGCGAATAGTAGTCCAGCAGAGGGGGGGGGGGGGGTACTAGGTAGTAGCGGCGTAGTAGGGGGCTAGTAGGGGGGTAGTAGGGAGGTAGTGGGGGGGGCAGTAGGGGGGTAGTAAGCGGTCGTGCTTCAGGCTTCAGGCATGTGCGCCTGTCTTTTCTTGCGCCTTTTGTGTTCAAAGCAAGGCTTATCTTGGAAGCCCAGTGGTACCCTTTACGCCTTTTTTGGTTCTGGCTTCTCTTGTGAAGCAACTAACAAAAAAGGCACCCTCTATGTGAGATGGTTACAGGGCTACCAATTTATTGTGTGCTGCAGGCCTCCCTGAAGGCCCCCGCTGAATCAGGTGCCTCAGTCTGTTCTTGCCACCCTGCTTCAACCTGGGCTCAAGGCGCAACTCAAAGCAATAATGGTCTAAACCCCTGAACCCCTAAACCCTAAAACCCTAAATCCTATAAACCCTATAACCCTATAAATCCTATAAACCCTATAAACCCTCTAAACATTCAACCCGAAACTTCCGCACAGAGACAGACATCGAGCTGTGGCCTTGAGCCCCCCCAGGTAGGATAAAGGGGGGCCCTTCAAAGGGTACCCCCCTCTTAACCCTTTCGGGCCCTCTTGAACTCAGAGGGTCTATATCCCCAAGGGCCCCCTAATCCTATCCCCTAACCCTAAACCCTAAACCCTAAACCCCAGAGCCCCAAAGGTGGCCCTCTTCAAGCAGTGTCGGTCGCGGAAGCTCTTGATCACGCCGCCAGGCAGATGGGATATTCAATCGTCGTCATACCTAGGACCTAGAGTAGGCCCTTATTCCCCTTTTCAGGGTTTTGGGGTTAGGGTTTAGGGTTTCGGGTTTAGGGTTTAGGGTTTCGGGTTTAGGGTTTAGGGTTTAGGGCTACTAGGGCCCAGAGTAGGCCCTTCTTCCCCTTTTTGTAAGGTTCAGGTTCCCTTGTGATCGCCCCTCTGAACCAAAACAAGGGCACCAGTAGCTAGGATTTAGGCACACGGACCTTTTGGGATAGTCACCGGTGATCAGGATCACGCATGGGACGGTCCTCTGACTTTCTTGTCCCCCCTGGGATGCCGGTGGTGCTTTTAGCCGGGGTAACCTCCCCCAAAAAAACCAACCCTAAACCCTAAACCCTAAACCCTAAACCCTAAACCCTAAACCCTAAACCCTAAACCCTAAACCCTAAACCCTAAACAAAAAACAGACCGTTAGTGAAAGCCCCGCATGGTAGCGGTTCTGGGAGTCCATGTTCACGGCTTGAAACCACTCCCAGTAGCCCTAAACCCTAAACCCTAAACCCTAAACCCTAAACCCTAGACCCTAGACCCTAAACCCTAAACCCGAAACAATGTAGGGCACTTGTAACCCTACTTATCACCACCCACAAACCTTCAACCCTGCTTACTTATCACCACCCACAAACCTTCAAGCACCGGCACAAAATCAAACACCCCCCCCCCCCCCCCCATGAATTCGCATTTTTATGGGAGAGGGGAGAGGGGTAATTCAGGGGCGTTTAGCGTTTAGATCTTTTATGGGGGTGGGGGGGAAATTCAGGGGTTCGGACCAGTCATGACTGTAGTTATCTTATAACACCACCCATGAACCTCCAAGTAGGGGATTCCGTGAAAATCGGACCAGCCCCTCAAAGTATTATTGTTTCAACTTCCATGCGCGTGCTCAGGGTCCCTTGTTTTGCTTGGAGAACTCACAGGTGCCTCATATAAAACCCTAAACCCTAGGCCCTAAGCCCCAAACCCAAGCTCTAAACGAGTAAGAGTAGGCTCTGCTCTACCTAGAGCAAACCCTGCATCTTCATTGAGGGAGCAATATTTAAGGTACACTTCCCTTCTCTTCAAAGATAGAACCTTGAACGGTTGCAGTAGATCAGCTTGTGCACTTTAGAGTTTAGGGTGTAGGGTTAACGGTTACCCAGAGAACTCGACACACTTATCATAAGGACTTGGCAGCCCCGTGTAGTGCTTTTGGCACTTTTTTGGTTTTAGGTTCCTTTGTCGAAGTGCCCAACATCACAGAGGGTACTCTTATCATTGCAATATGGTTCCTGGGCCACCAAGCCAAGAAGGACCCTAGTTTCGAAAACTGCGACCCATGTTTGGAATGCAGGCATGGAGCACAACACCAATTTGTTTGTGGATGTCCCGGGCCTAGCCGCAGAAGCGTTTGGGTTTAAAGTTCAGGCTTTAGGGTTTAGGGTTAGGGTTTAGGGTTTAGGGTTTAGGGTTTAGGGTTTAGGGTGTAGGGTTTAGGGTTTAGGGATTAGGGTGTAGGGTTTAGGGTTTAGGGTTTAGGGTTTAGGGTTTAGGGTTTAGGGACAAGGGGCTCGGGGCACAACGGCTGCAGGCTTATACAAGGGTTTTTGAAGCTTGGGAGAGTCGGAGAGGCCACGCCAATCATAAATGGGGGCCGAAAGCTTCGGGGAGCTGACCAAAGCTTTATCATAGTGGGGTAACATTTTACATTTTTAAGGGTACTTAAACTCAATAAGGAATGAAATTTTAAAATTTTATTACTATCCCAACTATGAACCAGAAAGGCCACCTTCATGTTCTTTAGCCGATGAAACTCTACACGGCCGAGCCTGCCGAGCCTGCACGTTACGCCCTGCTCAAGCATCGCGATGAGCCGTCCCTAAGCCTGAAGCAGAGCAACGCGCTTTTCAGCCTTGAAGCAGGGAAGTCCAGGGCTACTTGTTGAGAAGTTTCGTCTCAGCAGGGTCTACACCAGGTAGACCAGAAACCCTAAATCCTAGACCCCCTTGAACCCTTACTGAACCCTTGAACCCCTAAACCGCTAACCCTAAACCCTAAACCCTAAACCCTAAACCCTAAACCCTAAACCCTAAACCCTAAACCCTAAACCTAAAACCCCAAGCGTTTTCAGCCCAAGGCTCAGTACTTGGCGGTGCCTGCCATCAACTTCTTCGGCCTCCCTGGTTACCAGCAGGCGTTATATGGGGTTGTTGGTCTGTTTACGTAGGGTTTAGGGTTTAGGGTTTCGAGTTTAGGGTTTAGGGTTTAGCGTTTAGGGTGTTTCATAGGGGCATACACCGGCCTTCATGCAGCAGGCGTGTGCTGCGTGAGGCTTTAGGGTCTAGGGCTGCAGCGTTTTATAGGGTCTATGGGGTTTATGGGGTTTATAGGGTTTATAGGGTTTACAGGGTTTGTAGGGTTTGTAGGGTTTACAGGGTTTATGCGTTTTGTAGGTTTTCATGGGCTTACATGGGTTTACATGGGTTTAGGGTTGCAGGACTTAAAAGTGCAGGCTTGTCTTAGCCCAGAACCCGGAACCCCATGGGCCCTATGCTGGTTTACACATGGGAGCAACCCTGAAAAAACCCTAAACCCGAAACCCTAAACCCGAAACCCTAACCCCTAAATCCTAAACCCAAACCCTAAACCCTAAATCCTAAACCCAAACCCTAAACTCTAAATCCTGAACCCTAAACCCTAAACCGCAAGGAGTCCCCGCCTCAGATGCCCAGTCGCTTCTTCGAGGATGGGAGGCAAGCGTCGGGCCGCCCAGCATGCTGATGGCTCCGGGCGGTTTAGGGTTTAGGGTTTAGGGTTTAGGGTTTAGGGTAAGCCTGCACCTCCGTCGCTCTAAGATGGGTTCGGGTTTCCATCTGGGCTCTGCGAGATTTCCAGGGGCCGCAGCCTGATCATGCCTATCACGTGGAATTCACCAGGTAGGTAGGCCCTGGCATATCTTATACTGTCCCTTATTGTCCCTTATTGAGTTCAAGAGGGTTCCTTTTAGGAATTTTTTCAGAGGGCTTTTAGGGTCATCCTAGCTAGCTGTAGGCACCTAAGCGAGTTGAGGACGGATGTAGCGACAGGTCTGCAGTGAAACTCGAGACCTCCCGTAGCTCAGCCACACCTAGCGCCATGAACCTATCTCACAGGGGTACTTGGCAATATGGTTGTTAGTTTTTGGGTACTTTAATTCCTAAGAAACAGCTTAAACTATAATTGTTGCTAGGGTTCCAGGTTCAGTATAGGTTTAATTACCCTTACAAACAGAAATCTTGGGTACTTGTGCCCTTTGGTTTAGAGCGGACATTTCTCGACGTGTTGCGCGTGGCCGTTGTAGGAACAGCAGGGATGTCGAGCGCTTGGTTTTGTGCGGCTTGCGCTCCTGGTGGCCCCTTTAACGCCTAAAACCCTAAACCCCAAAACCCTAAACCCCAAACCTAAAACTCTAAGGCCCAAATTCGGTACTTGGAGCAGGGACCAAAGAATCAGCAACCTTGTTTGGGGGTCTTCAGGGTTCCCTAAACCCTAACCCTAGACCCTTAACCCTGAACCCTAAACGCTAAGCATTTAAATCTAGGGTTTTGGGGTCTTAGGGTTTAAAGTTTAAAGTTTAGGCTGGCCTACAATCATGGGATTCTACCTTGGGCCCTTAAGGTTGTACCCTTGGGTTTTGCTGTCCCTTTTTTGAGAATCCCTGAGGGAATCTAAGGGGTACATTAGGAGTACATTCAGGGGAACCTTTAGGGGTACAACCTTCGGGGTGCCTGAATCCCTTGATACAAAAGGATACCTGAACTCACCTGGCACCCTAAGGTTCCTTCTCCGAAAGGCCGCCAGGAGGCATTCCGATGTGTGTCTGCAGGGTTTAGGGTTTAGGGTTTAGGGTTTAGGGTTTAGGGTTTAGGGTTTAGGGTTTAGGGTTTAGGGTTTAGGGTTTAGGGTTTAGGGTTTAGGGTTTAGGGAGGGAGTCCATTCGAATTGAGAGCCCCTGCTGGTGCCCTAAACTAGCAGGAACGTACGGTAGAAAGGTTGCTTACATGCAAAGGACTAGAATGCAGAGCCCAAAAATCCATGTTTTTGCGCACATGTTATTTGGGTAGTTCTTTAAATTAGGGTCCCTTTGAGGATCCTAGTTATGAGGCTGCCGTCCTACATATATGTGTAGGACCCTCAAAGGGACCCTAACTTAGAGAATTACCACTTGAGTGATTTTGTCTCGTAAACTATAGTATAGTGCAGTATCCTATTGTCCATAGTGCAGTGTCCTGCAGCAATTGCCCGCGGGGTGGGGGTAGTGATGTCTTTGCGGAGGTTTCCTTTTGCGGGTATTTCGGATTTAGGGGTGTTCCACCCTAGAAGATCTCGACTCTGAACTCTGAACCCCTAAGCCCAAACCCTAAGCCCCAACCCTAAACCCGAAACCCTAAACCCTATACTGAGGGTTGACCGTTCACTGCCTTGGCCTCCGCACGCCGTAGAAAGGGCTCCGGACAGCACCCATTCATCCCAAATTAGGGTTTGGGGTTGCTAGTACAGACAGGAAAGGTTAGAATTCACACTCTTATAAAATTTAGGGTTTAGGGTTTAGGGTTGCTAGTACTTTCCAGCAAAGGCTAGAATTCACACTCTTATAAGAGTGTGTTCACAGCATCGCAAGCCTCCGCGTGATCGCCCGCAAGGAGCCAGAGCCTCGACACCTCAGCAGAAAGCAGTCCGTGGTTGGGGGCCCCAGGGGGGGGTTTAGGGTTTAGGGTTTAGGGTTTAGGGTTTAGGGTTTAGGGTTTAGGGTTTAGGGTTTAGGGTTTAGGGTTTAGGGTTTAGGGTTTAGGGTTTAGGGTTTAGGGTTTAGGGTTTAGGGTTTAGGGACGCCTGGAGTGTTCTGGCACTTCTCTCAGCTTGGGTTTAGGGTTTAAGGGTTACCCTAAACCCTAAACCCTCTTCGGAATGGCTGTGTATAGGAACAAAGGGGGCCATAAGAAACTGCCCGTTTGAGATGATGGGGAACGTGTCCTAGTTGTGTCCCACCTATCTATATTTGGGACATGGAATCTAGGATTCTGAGCAGTGTCCTTATTCCCTTTTGGTTCCCCTTACAAAACCCATTTAACCAAACAAGGGCACCTAGGACATATCTTCAACGAGCGACCAGTTTCGGAAAGGCGTCCTGAAGGTTGAATCAGAGCAGCCCTGACCCTAACACCCTACGACCCCTAGGTCCTAAGCCCCAAAGCCCTCAAACGATGAAACCCTAGAGCCCTAAGCCTTCAACCCCAGAGCCCTAAAAACCTGAGCCCTCAAACCCCAAAACCCTCGAACCCAAGAGCCCCCCAAGAAACCCAAAACCCAAACACCCTAAGCCCGGGTTTAGGGTCTAGGGTTTAGGGTTTAGGGTTTAGGGTTTAGGGTTTAGGGTTTAGGGTTTAGGGTTTAGGGTTTAGGGTTTAGGGTTTAGGGTTTTCCCCTGCACTTCCAGGGACCTAATTCTTCAGTAGAAGCGTGCTAGTAACCAAATTACTAGGCCCTCGGAAGTGCAGGGCCCTAAACCTTAGACCCTAAACCCTAAACCCTAAACCCTAAACCCTAAACCCTAAAACCATTCGCTTCCAGGTTCTACTTCTGCGGATGCCCTACTTCTCGCGTGAGGACCAGCCTGCGCGGGATTTACTTCGCAGCGTTTGGGGTTTGGGGTGTGGGGTGGAAAGGGAAACCCTAAACCCTAAACCCTAAACCCTAAACCCTAAACCCTAAACCCTAAACCCTAAACCCTAAACCCTAAACCCTAAACCCTAAACCCTAAACCCTAAACCCTGAACCCTACATTTTGGGGGATATAGGGGACAGGGGGTTTGCAGGGAGCTTGTATGGGGCCCTTCTGGTGTAGCTGGAGTTTCCCGGGAGAAAGTTTTGAAGTGAAACTAAAGTTCCACGGGCCCGGACCTGTTAAATAACCCAATTAGCCCACAGCAGTTAGAATTGTTCCGCGGCCCCCAAAAAAGCCCTAAACCCTAACTTACCGTAAACCCTAAACCCTAAACCCTATAGACCCTAGTTTTGTTAAATATTCAACCTATTTCATTTTCAGTGTGAATCTTACGAAGACAAGGCTGAGAGAGTTCAGGGTGCAGGCTTGGACCGCCTAGAACCCTAATCCTGAACCCTAAAAACACTAGACTCCCTAAAAACCTTAGGGTTTTTGTTAGCTCCGCTGTAGCTTCTCCGTGCCCGCACTGTTGCGGTGCCGCATTTGCCGCATCCCAGGATTCCGCAGGAGAGGACGGCCTGTGCGACCCCTGCGCTCCCTTCCGGCGCATCCAGGGCCTGGTCCAAGGACGCGCTCTGCCCCCGTGCAGCGCGGTGGCCGCAGCCTCGCTGCTGCAGGGCGTGGCGGATGCCTTGGAGAACATGGCCCGGGATGACCCGCCTGACCGCCGCGGGGTCAGCCGCAGCAGCAGCCCCTGCAGTGAATCGCCCGTGGCATTAAGGGCCGGGGCAAGGGCAAGGGGCCAAGTGGGGCAAGGACAACATCGAGGCCCTCTGTGGAGGATCCAGAGCACTTCAAGGTTCACCCAACATCGAGGCGAAGCAAACCTAAAACCCTAAAGCCCCCAAAACCCTCAAACCCTAATCCCTGAAACCCTAAAAACCCTAACGCCCTAGCACCCTATAAGCCCTAAAAACTCAAAAACCCTATAACCCTATAACCCTATAACCCTAAATGCCTAAAAGCCTAAAAACCCTAAAAACCCTAACGCCTTAACACCCCTAAAACCCCAAGTCAACCCTAAAATCCCTTAAAACATCCTGAAACTCTTATTTTGAAAGACCTTACCCTACACATCCAGGGGCCACCCCAACCCCCCTAAAAACCCAAGTCAAGAACCCAAAAACCCTTAAAAACCCTAAAAAACCCATGCGCCCCAAAACTCAAAAACCCAAAGCCCTAAGAACCCTAAAAACCCTAAAAGCCCTAACATCCCTAACACCCCTGAAACCCCCCCCCCCTCCCCCAAAACCCGAAGTCAAACCATAATTCTGAAGTCCATAAGGGTTCCAATTCTAGTAACCAAATGAGTAGGTAAAAAAGACCCTGAAACCCCCCCCCCCCCCCCCCCCCCCCCAAAAAAAAAAAAAAAAAACTACAAAACAACCAAGTCAACTACGGGGCCAGGCGAGATGAGGGCCAGGCACCAGATCGACCCCAGCACCTGGGCAAACGAGGGGGGTTTATGGGGCTCACGGTTTTGGGTTTAGGGTTTGGGGTTTAGGCTTTAGGGTTTAGGGTTTAGGGTTTAGGGCAACTAAACACCAACCCTTTTTAGGGTCGAGGGTTTAGTCCCAAGGTAGGCACCCCCGGCACCCCCTGCTTTGAGACCAAAGACCCTCCGGGACTTCAAGTCCAGCAATGCGTTTCAGGGTTTCGGGTTTAGGATTTATCGTGTAGGGTTTAGGGTTTAGGGTTCATCGTTTAGGGTTCAGGGTTTTCGGCTCCGATTTTGGCATCCGGCCTTAGACGGGGCGGGGGGTGGGGGGGGGGGGGTCCGGTTTCGGCTCCGATTCTGGCATCCGTACAAGGGCTGAAATATGTGTAGGTAAGAGAGGCTTCAGCTCGTCAGCCACTTATAAGCCCCTTAAGTGCCCTAATATGGTTATAAGTACAGTTACTAGTACTGCCAGAATTGGTTTTTAAGTACCATGAACCTCCTAGTAGGCACCGTTCACAGGCGAACAACGATTTGGTTATTTATACGGGCATGTATAAGGGAGTAAGAGCAACATGTTACAAGGGGTTGCAGGAACGCCCTCTTTATGGAAAGAGGGCCTTAAGGGTCCATGTAGCAAAATAGGGAATACTTGGGCCTTAATTAAGCAACCTCCTACATATGGACTTTGGGGCCCAAGTATACAGTAATGAGGTACATGGACCCTTAGGGTTTAGGGTTTGGGGTTTAGAGTCTAGGGTTTAGGGTTTAGGCTTTAGGGGTTAGGGTGTACCCTTAGGGGGGTCCTGAGGATTAAGAATCAGCACAGTAGCGGAACGCCCGCATCGCAAGGTGTGAGTGGGAGCCGGGCGATCGAAACGGCGTCTCGGACGTCGGGGGGCTCAGCGTCCCTAAACCTTAAACCCTAAACCCTAAGCCCTGAGCCCGAAACGCAAAACCCTAAACCCTAAACCCCAAACCCCAGACCCTGTACCTTATAAACCGAAGCATTGAAAATCACCTGGACTGAAGCCCCTTCTCGAAATCAGCTTAGGGCTCTGTGTTCTGGCTCTTGGAGCTCATCTGGCTGCACCCGAAAGATGTGAGCTGCATCTTCTTCCGTTCTAGAATTCTGTTCCCTTTTTAGGGTTTAGGGTTTTAGTGTGAACTCGGCTTCGTGGTACCCTTTTCCCTTTTTTTGGTTATGGTTCCCTTCTAAAATAGCCAACTGAAAAAATGGTGCCCTTACTGGGCTGCCAAGAGGAACAGACCCAGAGGGTCCATTTGTAGTACTATTATAGAAATAGGCACCCCAAAACCATACTAAATAGGGTTTTTGGGTACCTAATACTTCCATAATGGTACTGCAAATGCACCCTCTGGGAGATGAGCAGAATATAAGCCTCTCAGTCGATGGGCCAGGAAACAAGAAGACGCGAAGATATGCCATGGCAGCCCACCTCCAAGCCCTAAACCCTGAACCCTGCACCCTAAACCCTAAACCCTAAACCTCAAACCCTGAACCCTAAACCCTAAACCGAGGATGCGGAGCGAAAGGTCCACTGCAGCTTGAAAACCCAGGATGCTCCTAAGCCCCCAAGATGAGGATCCGCTACTTCCTCTGAGGCGAAGATTCCTGAAACAAGATAACCGGGACCCTGTGACACGCTACAGGTCAATGTAAGGACTACGTGAATAAACCCAAAACCCTTTAATTAAACCCCAAACCCTGGACCCTTCAAACCCTAAACCCGAAACCCTAAACTCTAAACCCGAAACCCTAAACCCCAAACCCTAAACCCTAAACCCTAAACCCTCTTTGGAGTCTCCTGAATGTGTGCCAGGACCAGGCCGTGGCGGGGGCCGATGCCCCCAGGCAAAGTGGGAACTGTGAAGCCACACCTGTCCAAAACAGGGGGGGAGGGGGTATGGAGGGAGCAGTATCCGCATCGACCTCAGTATGAAAAAGTACTTGGGCCTGCGTGTGCGCCAAAACGCGACCTGCCCTCCCGCCGCAAAAAACTGATAGAAGGTCACGTGGCGGCCCCCTTATGAACAGCCATCAGCCCTATCAGCCTTCTCAACCCTTAAACCCCGCTTAAAGACCCTAAACCCTAAACCCTAAACCCCTAAACCCTAAACCCTAAACCCTAAACCCTAAACCCTGAAAATTCAAAAGCAAACCGGAAGCCCCACAAACCCTCTCAACCCTTAACGCCCCCCAAAAGCCCTGTATGCCCTTAAAACAGCATAAGACAAGCAAACACTCTACATCCTCTCAACCCACCCGTACTGAAGCTAGGGCTTTCCCCCAAGACGTGGGACATGTTGGTCAAACTTGCGGCCAGGGGCTCTTCGCATGTCCACAGCTGATAAGGCATTCTTCTCCGAAACCCTAAACCCTGAAATCAAGGATCTGCACCCTAAACCCTAAACCCCTAAGAGCTCACAAATCCTTTCTCCCTGACTAGGCGGCATGGCGACGTTGCCTCGGAACGCAGCTGGCTAGCACGGGCGCCCGGAGTAAGGAAGGAAGTTCGTAACTGAAGCTCACCCTGAACCCTAAACCTCAAACCCTAAACCCTAAGCCCTAAACCCCAAGCCCCAAACCCCCTGAACCCGAGACTCCCGTATCTGATGAGCCGCCTCGAACCCTAAATCGCCTGAATTGAAGGCTGTGCTGAGCCCGGAAAACCCCTAGGGTGTGGGGTTTGGGGTTTAGGGTTTAGGGTTAGGGTCCCTGAAACCCCTACAAAGCCCTGTGAGTGTGTTGAAAGGTGGGGGCGCCCGTGGAGCACTGGAAGGAAGCCCAGGCATAGCCCTTTGGGTGGGGCAGTTAGGGTTTAGGGTATGGGTTTTGGGGTTTAGGGTTTGAGGTTTAGGGTTTAGGGTTTGGGAATCAGGGTTTAGGGTTCAGGGGGTAGGGTTTAGGGTTCGGGGGTTTCCTGACTTGGGTTGAACGAGGCTTTAGGGTTTAGGGTTCTAAGGTTTCGGCTTGTCCGCAAAACAGAAGGCCCTGTTTAGTTCCCAAACTCTACTTAGGGTTTAGGGTTTAGGGTTTGGGGTTTGGGGTTTGGGGTTTAAGTTTAGGGTTTAGGGGTCCTGTTTTAGTTCCCAAGCTCTTCAGAAATTTGGCTTGATGAGGTTGCAGGAAGGTCCCCATAACTTACTTCAACAAGGGCCCTGTGTAGATGGAATGTCCAAACCCAGCGGACGCTGCAGACACGCTGAAACCCCAGACCAAACCCTAACCTCAAAACCCTAAAACATGTGTGCTTGTGATTGTGATAGGGTTTAGGGCTTCGGGTTTAGGAATTAGGGTTTAGGGTTTAGGGGTTAGGGCTTAGGCTTTATAGGGTTTAGGGTTTCTGATATTCGGTATGCGACCGCGGGTCTTAAACTACTTATTGTGGTTAGTAGGGAATGAGGGAATGAGGCACCCTCTATATACCCTTTAGGGGATTATATAGGGCACCTTCGGGGATTATATAGGGTACCTTCCGTACTCACCAACAGTAAGTCAAGGGCCGAAGGGGAAGTTCGAGTGGATGCACGTCGTTGCTATGTGACTTTATTCTGGTTTTTTCTTCCGCTCCTGTAAGTATCCGTTGGGAGGGGTGGGTTCGACACCCTAAACCCTAAACCCTAAACCCTAAACCCTAAACCCTAAACCCTAAACCCTAAACCCTAAACCCTAAACCCTAAACCCTAAACCCTAAACCCTAAACCCTAAACCCTACGGCTTTGGAGGGGGCACGAGCCCCCCGTTTCTTTCACAGCTCTGGGGAACTGGGCTCCCAGGATTTTCGAGAGGAGGAGATCTTGGAGCAGTGAGGTCACGCCTGATTCCAGGGACAGGCTTAAGGGAGTCAGTGTTCTAGGCCAAAGAGCACCCTAAACCTTCAAGCCCTAATTCAGACCTGTGCTATAAGAAGCTCCGACTTCTAGAAACTCCAATGCCAAAAAGAACCCTAACCCTAAACCCTAAACCCTAAACCCTAAACCCTAAACCCTAAACCCTTACAACCCTCATGCATGCCTTTGCTACAAGAAGCTCCGGACATGGCCCCTGATCAAATTGCTGCCAAGAGTTTGCCATGTTTGTTATAGGCCGTTTTAAGCCTGTCAAATTATTTTTTATGCCTGTTAAGTTGGTATTTTAAGCCTGTTAAGTTGTTATTTTTAGCCTGTTAAGTAAATCTTTTAAGTGTTGCAATAAACTGTTGATTTTCTTCATGATGTTGGAGATACTGGGCTCTGTGGCTGATGCCTTACGCCTGCATCCTTTACTGCCAATTCGGTGGCTGCAGCTTGTGAGAAACGGTCGCAAGCACCAGGCAGCCACATGCATAGACAGATCGATGGGCATGAAAGAAGCGTGCACCCTAAGTCCTAAGCTTGGGATGTTCCCCCTTGTACTATCAGTCCTTAATAGGGATTCTAAGAGGGGTTACTATAATCCCGACTAAGGACTGTCTGTATAAGGGGGAACAACCCTAGACCCTAAACCCAGCTGAGCATGCGATGCGGTGATGAAGGGTGAACGTGGGGCACTGAGGCTGATCAGAAGCGTGATCGCTGCACGCCTACCTATCCCCAGGGGCCCTTGTACCCATGCAGTATATACTTGGGCCCTAAAGCTACCATATAGAAGCCCTTCTAAGTAGGTCCAAATCTAGACAATATGGGTGCAGGGACCCTTTGGGTTTATGAACCCCATAAGCCCTACGAACCCTCAACCCTCACAAAACCCAACCCGAAACCCTAAACCCTAAACCCTACACCCCAAACCCTACACCCTAAACCCTACACCCTAAAGACTCCTGAGAATCCTCAAGCAAACCAGAAGCCCAGGAGCTTGGAGGTGTTTACGTTCGCTTCGCGGTTTTTTATGGTACGGGGCGCGTGTTTTTTTTTTTTTTTTTTTTTTTTTTGTGAGGGGCTTTCAACTTCGAGAAACCTGAGGGAGCCCAGGGGTTCAGGGTTTCAGGGTTCAGGGTTTCAGGGTTCAGAGTTGCGGGTTCAGGGAAAGGGCCTCCTAAGACCAGATAGAGTGTTTGACTTTTTTGGTGATATGGACGATCGGACGGGGAAGGCTTTCGTGCATGGAGGAAGGCTTGCTATGTTTTTGTGTTTGTCTAAGCATATTGTGTTGTTTCTAGGCAAGAGAGTCTTGTCTGTGCAAGCAGCGCTTTCTAGGCAAATAGTGCTCTTTCACTAGGCAAAGTATTGGTCAAACACAAGACGAAAAAGGCTACTAAAGTACCCAGTTTGCATGTATCAACGAAATTATTCTCTGCATGCTAATGGACTACAGATTTTATGCGAATTTAATTGCTAGAACACTCGTTCAATAGCTCATAACTCATTACCTGAGTACTACATACAGGGTTCACGGACATAGGCACTAAATATTAATTTCGCTACAAGCAACATTTATACTGATAATTTGCGTGGCAAAACAAAGCCGTAGTACTCGGAATTCACAAGCCCAAAACTCAAAAAGCCAAGCTTGTCGGGAGAATCTAGGCAAAGAGTGCCATTTTGCAGACAATCAATGTCTTTTCGAGGCAGTTCGTGTTATTGTCTAAACAATTTCTGCTTTTGCTACGCAAAACTGATCAAACACGCGAATCACGCACAAATGAAGTACCAATTATGTATGCGTCTTAAGAACGCTCCAGAAGGTGCAGAAAGGGAGGCCTCCCTGGCCGGGGTTCCTAAGCAATTTCGGCGTGTCACTAGGTAGCTGTTTTGTGCCTCAGTTAAGGCATCCAGTCACACTCTTCCCGCGTCACAGGGTTTTCTCCCAAGCGTGGGTTTTCCCTGTACCCATCTCATGTCGCATTGCAGCGCGGGAGTTTCTGCCTGTATCTGTAGTTAGTAGTTGTCGTCGTCGTCGTAGTAGTAGTAGTAGGAGGAGGAGTAGTAGTAGTAGTAGGCTCTTTCTCCGCGACGAGCTTTTCGACTGCGCGTCTAAGCGGCAGCCGATACGCAAGGTGAAATTCAATCTTGAGCACTACGGCACAAGCGCATATGACACTGATCTTTTGCATGAGGTTTAGATTCGACGACCATCCAGTCACAGTGTTTCCGCACTAGTGGGACAGCTTTTGGCCATGGAAGGCATGTCACACCAGGCGGGTGTGGTCAGCCGAGTATAGTCGCTAGTCGCCGTTTATGGACGGAGTCTCCCTTCGGGGTTGTTCTTACAGATCCTAAATTAGGTTATAAGTCCCTTAACTACGGCTAGTATAGTAAGGGGGCCCCTCCTTGAAGGGGTTGTTCTTACAGAGAGGGAACGAGTGGCCCGCAGACCGCATTCCGTAGGTTGGTTTGGCGTTGGGAAGCCAGTATTCTCCAGGGATAAGTAAGCCCCCAAAGCCCCTAAACCCTAAAGCTCGGAGCGTTGCAGGGCATGTACGTCTCAAGGCGAAAGTATTTCTGAGCCTCTGAGCTCCACCCAGCGTTTAGGGTTACACTTCCTACTCAGCTAGGGAGAAACCGCCAGAAGCTTGAGCCCAAAACCCGAAACCCCAACCTTCTGTTGCAGAGCCTCAGACTCAAACCCCCCACCCCCCCCCCCCCTGCCAACCCTAAACCCTAAACCCTAAACCCGAAACCCTAAACCCTAAACCCTAAACCCTAAACCCCAAACCCTAAACCTCGAGTCTCCCACCAAAGCGTCGTAGCCGCTGTCGCGAAGCGCAGGCCCTGCTTGCAGAGGCTCATTGCCCCCGGACTTGCTTGGGGTTTGTAGGGTTTGTAGTAGGGTTTAGGGTTTAGGGTTTTTAGATGGTTTTTAGGGTTTAGAGGGTTTGTCGGTTTTACAGGGTTCATAGGGTTTCTAGGGCTTGTAGGGTTTGTGGGGTTTATATGGGGTTTATGGGGTTCATAGGGTTTGTAGGGTTCATAGGGCTTTCGGGTTTGTGGGATTCATAGGGTTTGTGGGGTTTAGAGGGTTTATAGGGTTTATAGGGTTTACAAGGGTTTGGGGTATGTTGATAATGTGTAAAATGTTCTCTTCAGGGTCGGAGGGGGTATAGTGGTGTAGGTAGCCTGTGGCAGTTGTGGGGTAGTAAACGCTTGTAGCTTTAAAGGTACAAAGCGCGAGACACAAGCGACTTTTCCTCAGTTTTCCAGACCGCCAGTCGAGGTTGAGGCCGTTGTGGCCGTCCTGATGGCTAGTGTCCGCACCGAATAATTAGAGTCCATGAGATGCAAGGGCACGGTAGGTTCCCTAAATCAGGGTCACTTTTCTGGGTACCTATTGTGCTCTGGGCCCTTGTACTTAACTACGATTTAACAGAAGAACCCCGAAAAATAAAAACTATCCTTCCTTATAAGGGCAACGTAGGGATGACTAAGTCTATTTTTTGAGGGGGCCTTAAGCAAATGCTTAAACCCTAACCCTCAACCCTGAACCCTAAACCCTGAACCCTAAACCCGAAACCCTAAACCCTAAACCCTAGTAGTTAAGGGGAGTACCAGAGAAGGGCCGAGAAGCAAAAGGCCCCCCCAGCTCCATGCCTTGGAGGACGACCATAGGTTTCTTTGCCAACACTTCCTGGCCCTAGCAGACATGCAGGACACTCTAAATCCTAAAACCCTAAAACCCTAAAACCCTAAAACCCTAAAACCCTAAAACCCTAGAACCCTAAAACCCTAAAACCCTAAAACCCTAAACCCCTAAAACCCTAACACCCTAAAACCCTAAACCCTCTACAGGGACCTTACCTCCATGTTTTTTTTTGGGGCGGCTAGAGATGTAAGGCTCCTGAGAGCCCCACACAAATAAAGGTTTTTAACCGACTCCTATGTCTTCCTACAGAGGCCCATTTCGTCCGAGTAGGGTTTAGGGTTTAGGGTTTAGGGTTTAGGGTTTAGGGTGTTTAGGGTGTTTAGGGTGTTTAGGGTGTTTAGGCTGTTTAGGGTGTTTAGGGTGTTTAGGGTGTTTAGGGTGTTTGGGTTTAGGGGTTTAGGGTGTTAGGGTGTTAGGGAGTTAGGGTGTTAGGGTGTTAGGGTGTTAGGGTGTTAGTGTGTTAGGGTGTTAGGGTGTCAGGGTGTTAGGGTGTTAGGGTGTTAGGGTGTTAGGGTGTTAGGGTGTTAGGGTGTTAGGGTGTTAGGGTGTGTTTGGGGTGTGTGGCGTGAAGAGTGTGTAGGGTGTGTAGGGCGTGTAGGTGCGTATGGAGGTGGAGCGCCTGGCGGCAGACCAAAATGACCGCCTGGAGGCTGCCTGTATCGCTGACTGTCGGGTTTGGAGGGCTCTTTGCTGTTCGTTTAGGGTTTAGGGTTTAGGGTTTAGGGTTTAGGGTTTAGGGTTTAGGGTTTAGGGTTTAGGGTTTAGGGTTTTATGAGTACAGTAGGGTTGTTTGATCAGCATGGTTGTTGACTATGGGGTGTGAGTGCGGTTGTGGTGGTGATGCTGATGATGATTGATTGTTTTTAAACATTTCCTCAAGGCAACGATCAGTTTCTGAAATGAGGTAGTGACCAGCGCTAACCCTCTTATAGCCCCGGTATAGACTTCCTGCGATGAGAATTGTCATTGTATTCTTGCTCACCACCATCGTTCCTCCTGTGAATACTGAAGTTCTGGATTTGTGGGCCCTTTGGGACGCCAGGGCTTGTATGCAGGATTTTGGGGCTGGCCCGTTCTTAGTTTCTACCCTAGGCCCTAGCAGCCCTAAACTTGGGGACACTTATGCTAACAGTCCTTACTAGGGATTTTAGTAGCCCGGTTCTATTCCCTTTTAAACTGTTGGTATCAAGGGGGAACATCCATCCAGCCCCAAACCCCAAACCCCAAACCCCAAACCCCAAACCCCAAACCC